TCCTGGCCAACTCGATGGCCAGCGCCTTGAGGAAGAGCTTGGCCAGGTGCTTGCCCAGACAGGTCCGTACGCCTCCTCCGAAGGGGAGGTAGTGGAACCTGCCATCCTTGTCTTCGCTTCGACCCTGCCCAAAGCGATCGGGGTCGAAGACATCCACGTCCTTGAAGACGGGGGCGGTGTCGTGGGTGTCCCGGATGCTGTACATGACGCTCCAGCCTTTGGGGATTTGGAAACCCTGCAGAGAAGAGGGAAGGGATGGAGAGAAAACCAGAGAGAATCAACCCTACTGCACAGGGAGAGGGGGCGGGAGAACTAGATAAAGCCATTTTGCCTTGTCTGCTTTTTCCCATTTCCTTTGGGTTTATTACTCGAGCGTGATGCAGATTTAAAAGAAAAGCAGAGAGCGCAGCGCAAAGGGCTGGGAGATGGGAATCCTGGGTTTATTCCTGGGTTTATTCCCAGAGACCCGCCGGATGATCCGTCGCTATTTATTTGCTTTGCGGTCGCTGGCACGAGTCGCCTACCAGGAACCCTGCGGTGCTCGACTGCCGCCGGGCAAAGAGAAGCAGCTTTTCTCGCGCCCACACCGTGCCCTGCACGCCGGCCAGCCCTCCCCAGAGCATCCCATGGCTTTGCTCATCCCCTGCCGCCTGGCAGCCCCACACGCCCAACGCACATGTCAGGGCCTGGGCAATGAGAAACAGGGCGGATTTATCATCCCCTGAGCACTTTAAAAGGTTTCCGACTCCAATCAGTACGTTAATAGGATTTACAGCGACAAGCCAGGTCTCAAGATTTTGTTTTGCTAGTAGGAAATTCCAGCCATTGTGGTGAGTAATCCGCCTGTCATCTGGCAGCCTGGAGATGCCCTTTGCAGTAAACCTTTCCCTTGTCACACCCCAGTTTAGTTTTTGGCATCAAACATTGTCATGAGTTGCTCTTTGAAGCATCACGCCTGTCTCCTCTTTGACAGCCTGAGTTCGTCCCTTCCCTGCCGTGGGCCAGATCCCATCCCCCTCCTCTGAGTCTGGAGCAATTCCACCTCCCATCACCAGGAGGACCTAATTAGTCCTCCCTGATGTCTCATCTAAGCCAGGCTCAAGCCTGTTTGCAACAACATGCAAAAGGCTGTTTTGGGGAGCTCACGGTGCAGCCGCACCCCGGAGAGATGGCGATACTCACATCCAGCTCGAAGGTTTGCAGCACCGTCCGGTACCCCCCGGAGATGGGGGTGAAGAGGCGAAGCACCTCCTTGATGACGCAGTCCAGGTAGTAGAGGCTGTTGATGTTGTCAAGCCGGAGGGACCCCTCGCAGATGCAGCCGTTGTGGAGGATGCCCTTGCTGCGCAGCTCCTCCCGCAGTTTCTCCAGCACCCGGGGGTGTTTGAGGAGCTGCATGATCAGAGAGGTGCTGGCGCTAGCAGTGGTGGCATAGGCAGCGAAGATGAGCTCCAGGGTGCCATCCTGAAAGACAAGAGCAAAGCCAGGGTAAGACACAGGGGATGGGCAGATAGACAGGCCAGCCGACGTGGCATGTCAAGGGGCAGGCACGCAGGCTGCCATGGGGCATTTCTTTCCCCAAGAGCTCTCCAGCCTCGTCACATCTGCAAGGTCCCTCCTTGTGCAGGCACAGGTCTTGGACATCCACCACAGGGAGCTTCCCATAGAGACTTGGAGGACACTGAGGACCAGACAGGCAGGATTAAAAATGCTGGGGATGGCTCTTAATAGCCTGTGAAGGACAAGTTATGCCGTGACCCTGCTGCAGAAAACAACCTGCCAAGGGCTCATTTGCCCTGCAATGGAGGCAGCATAAAACTGGATGGGTCAAGGGGTGAAGCTGGTCAAGGCTGAAAGCTTCATCAAACTTGTATGGTCTTTTGGTATTCCCCGGAAACACTTTTTAGAAAGGGCTGAGTGTGTTCTACAATAATTATGGCCCATAAGAAAGCAACTGGCTTTGTTGGCACCATAATCCACCAGACCAGGATTCACCTGCAGCTCCGACAACACACTGTGGTCCCCCAGCTCTCACCGACCATCTCTGCCCCAAAAAATCCTCCTTACAGCAGCTCGTGCTTTGCTCTTTGAGGAACCCCTGCCCTGAGCACAGCAAGGACAAGGTGGCCGTGGGGAAGATCTTCACCTTCAGCTCCTGCATGGTGAGCTCCTTGCCGTGCTCCTTGCCGCTCTCTATCAGGATGTCCAGTGCATCGGCGTAGTCCTTGCCCTGCGTGTTCTGCAGTTTCTCCTGAATAGCTTTCTCCAGCCCCTTCTGCAGCGTCTCGCGTGCCTGGATGCCCTGCGGAGTGGGAAGCCATCAGACCATGCAGGACACAACGATAGCACCACCATCCCCAGCCCAGCATCCCCAGGAGCTGGAGACGTGCTCAGGACAACATGTCTAAGTAATACAGCTGCAATTGCAGGTGCTCAAAGAGAAGAATAAAGATGCTGGAGTTGTTCCCTGGGCAGGAGGAGCAAGCCCCGAGCAGGCGAGATTACAGGCCAGAGTAATCAGCACCTACGTGCAAATGATAGGTCTGACGTGGGAGCCCCAGTACTGCACCAGTTCACAGGCCTCCGGCTCACCCTGGGATATATGGCAGTCCCTGGGAAAATTATCTCTCAAAGGAAAGTCAACTCATCCGAAAGGATCCTCTTCCCGGGAGCGTAATGGGCTTCCCGAGTAATTTTATCACCCGGTCTCAGTAAAGCAATTCCTATCTGAGTGCAACCGCACCGGGCTAACCTGCTGCTGCAAATGTTTCAGGGCTGCAAGCGCTTGGGCTCATTCACGTGCTCCAGTAACAACAACGAAATTTGCAGTGTTAATCACAACAGGAAATTTTAAACCCCCTTATTTCTATTACCAAAATTCCCCGTGAAAAAAAATAAATTTTTGTGTCTGTGGTTTTTGTTATGTTTTCATTTTGCATCCTTCGTCAAAAAGCTAAATTAGTTCCTGGAATCAGAAGGTCCATTGATCCATTTCGCCCTGGGGACAGGAGGGAATTAACAGGAGAAGGGTCCCACAAACAACAAAAATACAGAAAAACTTCCAGTTACAGGTGAGAAAAAATTATGCATTAAATCTGGGCAAGTCCTGTCTGTATTCTCCTTGCATGGAACCACACAGTCCCTAGCACTCTAAAAACCTATGAACGGATCTCCCTCTCCGCTCTATCAAAACAGGACTTTCTAGCCCAAAAAGGACCTGCTGTTAGAGGTCAGAGGGTGAGAAGACATCCCACTGAGAACCTGTAGAGGTGGGGATTAGCCACCACCCCATTAGACCCAATAATTTGGTTTTATTGGCTGGTGGAGGACTTAACCCAAATTTCTTCCTCTCCTGTTGCCACTGAAGGGCAGATCCACGGGCAAGGAGAAGACATTCTCCACAAACTGCTGGTAGACCTCAAAGAGGTGGTTGAGCTCCTCATCGGGGATGCGGAAGCCCAGCAGGACACGGATGGCCATGCGGAAGGTGAGCTTCTGGGTCTCGTGGTAGACATTGATGGACTCAGGGTTGCTGCTCCAGGCCCGGAGGGTGTCTTTGATCACCAGCTGGATCTTAGGGAGATAGCTCTCCAGTGCCTCATGGCTGAAGATTTTGGAGAAAACCTACCAAAGAGAGTGAGCAGAGATTTCTACACAGCCCCAACACCCTCATCTTTGCCTTCTCTAGTAACCAGCTTCTGCCCACAAAAATGGGCATCACAGGTCCAGAAGACCCGTCGTCATCCAGAATCCATCACCCAGAATCACTGATTCCCAAAAGAGCTGCCAAAAAGGGTCAGTGTAGAAATATCAGCTGGCAGATCCTCCGCAGGCTGATTCCCACCACAACCATCATGAACGACGGGCAATAACTCGGTACAAACCAGAGATGGGAGGAAACGCTTGACCCCGCGCACGGCAGGACGGATGGAGCCAGCTTTCCCGCAGCTCCGTGTCTCAGGAATCACTGATTCCCAAAAGAGCTGCCAAAAAGTGTCAGTGTAGAAATATCAGCTGGCAGATCCTCCGCAGGCTGATTCCCACCACAACCATCATGAACGACGGGCAATAACTCGGTACAAACCAGAGATGGGAGGAAACGCTTGACCCCGCGCACGGCAGGACGGATGGAGCCAGCTTTCCCGCAGCTCCGTGTCTCATGGCTCCCAGTTATGTTCATCCCATGATTTGGATGCTACTAAGACATATGTTCCACAGGGATGCTCTAGTGTCTAACGCTATGATTGCGCATGCACGCAGAACGCAGAAGCTTTTCTCCCAGTGGGAAGCATCGGCAGTTCCTCCCACCTCTCAACCACCCTTTTTTAATATATGTAAAAAGCTAAGCTAAATAATTATTTTGAGGCATTTAGGATCTCTGTGGAATCTGGCTGAACTTAGGCAGGGGTTCAAGTGGGGAAGAGAGGCACGCACGTACCCAGAGGCTGCGATCGCACACGGCTCATTTCCTCGGGAAACCGGGCAAAAAAACCTGATGGCAGTAGACAGTATTAATTTAAGCTCTGCGAGTAAACACTGCGCAGGAGTGGGCCTCCCCAGGTCTCTGATGCTAACGGCTCCTTACTCCAATTTGGGCCAGGGCCCATGCGTTGCGCGAGGAGCTCAGCAATGCCAGGAATGTCCCTGCAGCCCTCCCCGACGCAGCCCACAGCGCACGCTTTCATTCGGCATCCCCGCCGCATCCCTCCCAGAGTGCACCGGAGGAAAAAGTGCTGTTTGTTTATTTTTTATTAACCTACACACACACACACACGCACGGGGCAGCACGCACAGACGCACCGCCGCATGCCAGGCCTCCAGGAAAATCAAATTAGAACAGGCTCCCAAGGAGGGAGCTGCAAGCCTGCGTAGCCTCCACTGGTGGCCAGTTCCCGGGAGGGCTCAGCGCACGGTGGGGGAGCTGCAAAGTTATCAAACCCGCAAGAGGAGAGAAATCAAAGCCACCCCCTCTTTCCATGAGCACCGGACTCGCTGGAGCTGTAAATGTGAGAATTTCCTCCGCAGTCAGCACTCAAAGGGAAAGGTAACATTTTCCTGGCTGCGACCCCTCATTGCTAATGCACATCGTTTGCTGGGAGTTTGTTTGGTGAAATAACACCTCTGTCCCCCCGCAGCCCCGGGGCTGGACAAGAGCAGGAGGCTCGACAAGAGCCGCTTCATAACGAGCTGTACTCAGGCTGAGCCCCGAGTAAAACTCATCACACAATACACGGTGGGGCAGAGCTTGGAGGCTCCCGGTGGAAATACCAGCCTGCAAACAGAATGGCAAGAGAGATGGGAGAGAAAATGCAAGCAGACCAACGGACAGACCTGCCTGCGGAGGGACAGCCGTCCCCGGATGGCTGTGCAGAGCGGAGGCACGAATGAACGGCGCGGAGGAAGGAATGAACGAACAGCGGGGCTCCAGTGCGGGCGCGCGAGATGGCGCGGCTGCTGCTTTCCGCCGCCTCTCCGTGCTTCACAAGTTATTTGTGAGCCTGGAAAGGGCAGTGATGCTCCAGCAGACCGGCCCGCGCGAGGGGGTGAAAAAGCAGCCGCTCAGAAGAGAAAAGCTGGAGGTGCTGAAGCTGAGCCCCTCAGCTGCCTGGGGACGGTACAAAGGGCGCTGGGAAAGGGATGGATCCGTGAGCAGGACACCAGGCTCCCATGCAGTGCTGGCTGGAGGAGAGCTGGCAGCCACGAGCCGCTCGACAGGGGTGGGACAGGACCTCCTGAGCGGGGTTGGCCAAGGGACACCACTGTCTCCCCATCCAGCTGGCATCTGCCCTTCTTCCACACTGTGGGGTTTGGGACAAGGACAGAGGCTCCCAGTGCATCACACTACTCTCCCCAAACGCTTCCCGGGACTCAGTTTCTCCAGCAGAAAGCAGAGCCGACAAGGGGACAGCTCTGCCTGGAGCCACCATCCCAACAGGCAAACCCTGTCCTCCCCTAGCTCTGCCCAGCATCTGCCACAGGCAAAAGTGCTCAGGAACCCCCTGGCACCCTGCAAAAAGTACAGCGGCCCAAGAAATGCCTCTGGTCCCGTCAGAGAACCAGCCCAGGGCCAGATCCACACCCCACAGACCAAGCCAGGCTCTGAAGAGGAGAGTGCCTGTCCCGAGGAACGATGTGCAGAGAAGGTGCAGGGCGGGGGGGGACCCTCAGGAAGAGAAAACTGAACCCCTGAGGAGGTCAACACAGCACCTGCCCAGCCTGGAAAAGGGGGAGTATTTAGCACTGGGGAGTTGGGGGGGATTTTTTTTTTTTTTTTTTTTTTTTTTTTTTATCGCTTATACGTCCTTTCTTGAGGCTGCAGCGTCTGCCTGCATCGTCGGCCGTGCTTT